ACTCTTTGACAGGCATCCCTCCCCCTCCTGTTCAGGACACACAGCAGCCCACAGACTCCCAGAGCATGGTCTTTTCACTAGTAAGGTAAAAGAAAAACAATGTGAGAGACACAGCTGTTTGCACATCTCCCTGTCATCACATGCTGCTTGGATAAAGAAGCTGTCCCTTTTGTGTTCAGACAAAATGCAAATCAGCAGTTATTCAAGCCCCCACCTGAGAAAGATCTTACTCTTAACCTTGCAGATGTTGTGCAGGACATGGCATGCTGCACTGACATGTACAGCTAAGTCTTCACTAGCACCAAAGAGTGTCCCTGAACCATACTGGCTTATCTTCAGCTTGACTAATTAACTCACTTGCTTTTAACAGCACAAAACAAACTTTAAACTGGGTAAAGATCCTTGTTGATTACTCTGATTTAGAAGTGGTGTAGTTTGTACTAACATCTTACTGTTACTGATCTTCCCAGAGCTCTGCACCCTTCTGGTGTATTCCTGCATCTACCAATTTGGCCAGCTAAAGGCTATTGAGCACAACACAAGTATTCTGCAGAGTTAACATTAATTTCTTTATTGACATTTTTGTTGTATGGGTTTGGTTTTTTTGGGGGGTTTGTTTTTTTTTTTTTTCATTGATACATGTCAGAATACTTTTGCAGTCATGGAACACTGCCCTCTAAAAGGAATTTATTTTTCCAGGCATGTTTATGCACCCAGCTCTTGGATAAGTCTGTGATTATGGCATAATGTTGTGGTCCAGGTACAATAAACAGACCCCACAACCCTCCAGCATCCTGAAAAGATTAGTACTTCTTTATCTTTGTCTAGGTGAGCTCCTACAGAATAAAACATTTGCTCCCATCACTGTCAATAACGCATATAGATAAAATTTGACTTATGAAAGATTTAGTTATCAATTTTGTATAAAAAACCAGCTAGTAGATGACATCTGAACTCGAGTTCTCAGCTGCCAAAAGCTGCAAGAGGTTGTGGGCTCCAGAGCACCCACTGTCTGCAGTATCATGAAACATGCTTGGAGTGTTCATTCAATGGTTATCCACACTGCACAACAAGCATTTATATCTTCACATTTATACATTTTTAAATTGGAGATTATATTCACAATGTTCGTGAGGTTGGCTCTTTTTTTCACATACTGTTTTCAGAGATGGGACAGATTAAAATGTAAAATCTGGTGATGTAAGGTTATGATTTTTGGGAATAGGCTGGCCAAGTGTGTTGGCTTTGGTTCTCTCATTACGTTCAGTAAGGCATCTCTGGCTGACAGCAATACATTCTTTGCAAGTGATTTACTTCTCCTTTCTGGTATAGATTGAGTTGCAATCAGCCTGCACTTAAGCAATACACTCTGAAGAGATGTCACTACCAGTTTTCAATTGAGAAGCAGAGGGTGTGTATAACAAGCTGTATTAGATAATGTGTGTATATGCATTATATTTATATATATACACAGCATATTACATACGCATGTGTTTGTATATAATGTATATGTACTGTATGCACATACATAAACTTAAAAATATATACATATATAATAGACTGTATATATATTGCATATGTATATCATATATAAATATATGACACCATGACACTACCTCTGTTAAACATTCCCTTTAAAGACATTTTTTATACACTTACAATTATTGCTTCTATTTTTGCAATAGCCATTTTTCACTCTACTTTTGGAGCACCTTCCTTCACTCCTGCCTAGCACCAGTCTCACCTGCGTGATAGTAAAACAATTTTTTATGGTCAGGACCTCATGATTTTAATACTGTTACTCGAGATAGGTGGGTTTATATGGAAAGTTCCTTATCTGAATACCTTTGTCACATTTCCAAGAATTTATCAAATTTCTTGTTGTTCAAATGGCAAAACTGGAGCTCAACATGTAGATAAACATGTAACTGTTGAAACAGAGCTGACTTGACAATACTGCAGTAGACTGTGGTGGGTTCTTGGTGTCAAGAAACCATGCAAAACCAGCAACAGCTACTGACTTCTGTACAGTTACCTGCAGCGTATGTTCACAGGAAGAGCGGGAAACCTCATTGCACAACTCAGCTCATCAGTGGACAGATGACCAGGATTGTGTCATCTACTCACCTGGTGCCACAGCAAAAGTGAGGATACACGCCTGAGGAGAAATTTCACTGATGTTTGGAAACTGCTCCTGGAAGGTTACCACCAGCATTACACAAAGACCCATGCATGGCTCTCCAGAGCAGTCCTAGGCAGAGAAATGTTCAGAAATGCCTCAGCTATACAAAGGACACTGTTCTGGCTCAGAGGATTAGACAGAAAAAACCCATTTTTTTTCTGCAATAAGTGGCCAAGCAAAGTCTGAAGTAACTCCAAATGGAAAATGAGTGGGGCCACTGAGAGACCTTTTGTATCCACTCCAGCTGCCAAATGCAGCAACACCCTGTGCTGTTACAGGCTCTACATTTGCAGCAGAGCCTGCCTGGGACAGGTTTGGCAGCTGTGACTCAGAACACCCGTACAGGTGCACAGGCAAACCAGATGTTCTCCAGGAAAGCAAAGCTTGCAAACAAGATTTGGGTTACCTTTGCATCTCTTCAAGATTGGTATGCAGATTGGTTGCTGTTCTTTGGATGACTACCTTGCTTGGTTACAACTGTTAGCATTTCAGCAAAATCTCCCAACAGTGTTGGTGCACTAGGGAGTGGCTTCTGCAATGCTCCTGATCAGCCCGTCAGGCTTCAAGTACAGTCCTTGAGACTACTCATCTCAAAAAGACTCTTAAAACACAATCTCGACAACAGAATGAGAGTCTAGACATCCTTTAGTCGGTAGAAAAGTTGCATCTGAGATATCTGGATTCTAGTAAGGCAACAAAATAGGAGAAAACACTGGTTAGCATTATTCATGGCAAGCTCTTCATTCAGCATAGATCAGGAGTTAAGTCTTCAGTGTCTTGTAAAATCTGGAGAGCTGTCTCCAGTATCTTACATTCATTTCCTGTCCTTATATGGTGAATGCAGGGAACTTAAAAGATTCCTTAAATTTTCAGTAAATCTCATGTGCAGTTTTCATGCAGTATGCAATGAGAAAACCTGGTTGCTGCTAGCTCCCTCTTTTACAATGTAAATGCCCCTGACTCCTGTGTGTTTCTGCTCCCTGTGTGCAGGGCACAGCCGTCTCCTTCATGCTGCCTTTCCCCTGCTGCAGGTTAATCATTTACTTGCCATGAGCAGGTCAACCATTATTTCTGTCCTCTCCCAACCCTCTCCAACTTGCATGATAATTCAAATTACCTTTGCTCTTGAAGTGCATGGAAGGCGAGGCCACTTACTCTCTTTATGGGGCTCCAAAGAGAGAAGAGCTGTTGTTGCTAACATTGTTGGCATCAAATGTGTTAGAGCTGTTAGTTTGCATCTGGTAATTGTTATTTTTTTTCCATTAATGACAACAGCCTTGCATTTTGAAGTCTACAGGTGACCTACTTATTTTTTATTGTTATGCACCCCAGTGTCCCATTTTGTCTCAGCCAAGGCAGCTCTATCAGACATGGCAAAATAGATATTACAACACAGAAGGAATATTAGTTGTTTGCTGAGCCACATAGCCGCTTCCCTCTGGACAAGTCAAGACTTATTAGTCTTAAGGCTCCCAAGGGCTCTGTCTGAGCAGCGATGTGCTGGTTCCTAAGGTCTGTTTGTAGTTTTTCTTGGCTGATGTCTTAGAAAAAATGGTTTTGAACCAAGAAATCAAAGAAAAGGTTCCAACTTCTGAAAATTGAGGGGGTGGGGGACTGAGGTGTTTTAATTTTGTTTTGTGATTTTCCCCTCCTAGGTGAGACATACAGTATTGCTCAATGGATTATCATATTTCTACATATCCTTTTTGGCCTTATTACGATGCCATTTCAAAAGTTCCAGGATTTCTTCACCTGTTGTGATCCTAACAATTCCAATAGGACCATGAAGGAAATACAAGAAGCCAAAGTCCTCTTCCTAATGTCCAGCCTAATCAATCACCCAGTCATGTGGAGTTTCTCCATCCCCATTCCACCATCTGTTTTTCAGCCTCTCGTGATATTGCCACACTCATAACAAGCTTCCTATGCTGGTTCAGTCTGCTGTGGTCTCAAACTTCTGGTTTGAGCTTCTCGCGGTCCTCCAGCTCAGGGGCTCCTGCTGCACTTACACATTGACTGTGTATTCATTTCATGGCATCAGCTCACAGTCCCTTCATCTTGTGCTTTTCTGCACATCATAAAATGAGTTTGCCTCTTTTCCCCAATTTGCATTCATACACTCTCCCTGCTCTTTGTTTTTGCCTCTTCGCTTGACTCAAGGTATCATCTCCATGCTAACCGTCTCAAAAAGCTGTAATTCCTGGCTTTCTGTGGACTAAAGTGACAGACCAACTAAAACAGAGCACTAATTTACAGGCTTCGAATTCCCCATCACCTTTCTTTGTGCCCCAATGCTTCCCTAGGTGGGAGGCGCTGTGAAGTCTTGCCTTCACCGCAGCTTCTATGGGAGGAGTGTTGCAGTCCTGGGGTGAGAGTATGCCCTAAAGCACCGAGCTAAAGCTGACCGGTTGTGCTTTGTTTTTTAAAACAAGGAAATATCACGTCTCCCTAGCGTTGCCTGGAGTGACCCTCGGTTGCCACCGGTCCCGGAGCAGCTGGCAGAAAGCGCCAGCGAGAGAGCGATCCCGGGGCGTGCGGAGAGGCACCCCCCCACCCCCCCCGAACACCGCGGCAGAGGACACCGCCACGGGTACAAGAAAACCAGCCGGCTTTCCCTTCTTCTTGGCCCCGGAGCCTCGGGGGCTCCGGCCGCCGGGGTAGGGGCACGAAACTCCCTCCCCCCCACACACCCCGTCAGGAGGCAGCGCCGGGGCCCCGGGCGCGGGTGGGATCGCGGCGGGGCGTGGGGGGGGGGCGGTGCCGCGGCGGCGGGGGCCGGGCCGGGCCGGGCCGGGAGGGCGGGAAGGGGCCGCCCCCGCCCCCGCCTCGGCGCCGTCCCGCCGGCCGCGCCGTCCCGCCGCGCAGTTGCTGCCCGGCGGCTGCGGGGACAGGAGGGGCCGCGCCGGTGCCGTGTGAGTGGCGGTGGTGGTGGTGGCGGCGGGGGGGGGAGGCCGGGGTTTCGCCGCCCGCTGGCCTCGGAGGGGTGGTGTTGGGAAGGGGGGAGGCCCCGCTGTCCTTTCGCGGGGTCTCTCCCGCGCTCGGGCGCGCAGGGCTGGGCGGGAGCGGGGGTGGGGATGGGCCCCGGGGTGCTCCTTGCTCACCTGCCCTCCCCGCCCCCCCCCCCCCGCGCCCCTCCCTCCCCGCCCCAAAACTTCCTGGTTGCGCCCGCATCCCCCCGTGCTTCTCCTGCAAGCCCCCGGCTGTGCCCCGCTGTGCCTCTTGGCTCCCCACCTTCGTCCTACGGCTGCACCTGCATCCCTGCCCCCTGTCCCCAGATGTGCCTTGCCCCCTGACCCTTAGGCTGTGCTCCACCGTGCCTGTTCCCCCAACTCCCCTGGTTGTACCTCACACCCTGCAGTGCCCCGTCCCCAGGACCTTTGACTGTGTGTGTTCCCCCAAACCCTCTGGCCGTGCCCCACACCCCTCCCCCCCCCCCCCGGTGCGTATCCCTCCAAGCCCTCTAGCTATGCTTCACATGCGCTGAGCTCACCTTCCTGCCTTGAAGAGCAAGCCCCACCAAGGATGAGGCATGGAGATGGCCTCCACCTTGCACAGGAGGCAGTATCAGGGGTTTTATTCTTGAAAAATGTCTTTTCCCCATCACACCCCCCAGAGAGAAGAGGGGTCCCAGGCATCAGGAAGTGGGGGCTTCTCTCTCTGCAGGGGCAAAGGTTGGAGGCAGCCGGGGGTGAGGTGTGGCCCACGTACTTAGGATGATAATATTAAAATGTAGAGCTGGAGGGATGATGTCTAGTCAGGGGTTGTCTGGCAAGTTGAAAGGTTGTCCGTCTGGCTTGCTGCCTTCCTCCCCCTCGGAGACAGGGCTCCTTGCTGCCATGTGTGGTGGGTCAGTCCTTCAGGACTGGCAGCAGCAGCGGGACCTGAGGACTCGGGTGGGTGCCGGCTCGTGTGGCTGACCAGGATACGTTGGGCCGGTCTCATGGACTCGCTCTTTGCTACTGTGCAAGTCATGTGTGTTGTTTGGGTGTCCTAAGTACGTTGATACTTAAATATGTTTTAAGTATGTTGGTACGTCGGGTTTTGAGCGTTGCTGCCACTAAGATAGAATTGTGTGGTGCTTGAAAAGGAATAGTGGGGCTGCAGACCAACACCTACTGATTTCTTTGCTTGCTTGGGTAGGAAATCAAGCTAAGTGAACTACAGCTGTCTGGACAAACCAGAAACCTTACAGCTGTGTATGGATACCCTCTTACTTGCTCCATCATAACTCAGTCCTTCCCAGACCTGTGTGTAGCCCTATACTGAACATTGCCATGTGGGAGAAGTCTGAACGAGTTTTTCTGGTTGTCGGGAGCAGCCTGGGAGCTGTGTGCTGCCTGACTTAGTCTGCTACTCAGCATCTGGGGTGCTGCCCGGGAAGCGTTCAGGCTGCCTTGGAGCTGCCTCAGGTCGGGGTAGCATCGTCATTTATCGACATGGTGTTAGGCAGTGTGGATGTACCCTGAAAACGCTTCACCGAAGAATGGGAGCGCTTGTGCTTATATGTTTGCTTGAACAAAAAGTACAAAGACCTAGGATATGAAAACCTAGCCAGATGGAATCTTAAAGCCTTCCTAGGCAGCACCTCTGTTGCAAGAGGAGGAAATAACACAACTTTATAGTATTTCATTACAATGTATCAATCAACTTTCTATTAAATAGTATTTATTTACTCGTAGAGTGAGGCAGGTTATGGTACAGGAAGCAATATTCATGGAATGTGTTGGGAAAGATGCCATGGCATTAGTCAAGTAATACATGCAAAATAGGATTTAACTAGTTATGAAGCTCGCCAAATACTATGAAATACCTATCAACTAATTACATACCAGTAAAAGAACTAATCAGGTACATTTCTGTATCCTTACATGACTCGATGGCCTTTGTTGCGTGTGTTCCCCTTGCCGTGCTGTGCCCTTCCTGGCTTTGTTTTACTCCGCTGCAATAAACTTTTTTTTTTTTTTCCCCTCCCCTACCTTGAACTCCTGCTCTTCCTTTTGAATCTACTTCTGCCCAGTGCTTTTGCTTTAATGCTTATCTTATCTTCTCCTCTGGCCTGCTCTTTTCTGGGTGCTTAACACACAGTGATGCCATCTTCAGTGGCGTGGCATGACTTTGTAAAAATAATTTGAGGCCAGCACTCGTATTGACTTCAGGCTAGTGGATGTCTGAAGCTTTAAGCTACTTTCCAAAGCCTGGGTAGCTGGAAAGGGAGAAGTGCTCTATTCCTCTCACTATTCCCCTGTCCCTCACCGCAGCTCTTCACTGTTCTGCCTTTTTTTTTTTTCCTGAAGTCACAGCAGGTGACACACATAGGTGCAGGTTTTTTTTATCAGTTTCCTAATTGCCCAAGTACATATTAAGTTTGAGAGCTGACAGGCTTTATTATGTTTTTCTCTATTGCAATTTATGGATGCTTCAAACAGAAGTTCTGGTAGGCCTTTCTGAGTATTTAGGAGGAAGCTGGTCTGGGCTTAGAAGCCTCCCCTGAGGCAGAAGGGGATGGGAGCTAAGCACTGGGAAACTTGGACAGAGGCAGTTCCAACATTAAGAATAATTGTTGCTGTAAAAAAGTTTTAAAGCATGTCGCAAAAGCTTCATGGTTATTTTTGGTTTAATTTTAGGATCTTTTCTGTTCACCTAAAATTACTTGTTATTTAAAAGTTAGGTGGTTACTCTGCATTGTTGGACAGTGCCAGGAGCAGGTCCCATGTGCTTGCGCAGGGGTCTCCCTCCGGTTCCTGGGCTCAGTGCTGCATCTAGAGGAAAAGTGCAGCCTAGATGGTAAAAAGTAAACCTTTTACTCCTCGAAAATATCAGGTTATTAGAGCAGAAGCCATAGCATTAACAAAATAAATAATTCATTTTGTAAGCCTGATTGTATGTTTTTAAATGTAATTCCTTTAAAAATCATGGAAATGAAAACCAGAGGGTCATGCAATAGTTTTATTTTTTGTAGCCTGTTCTCACAAGTTCAATTTATAAGAAGTTTTGCAAAGTTGCAAGTTATGCAGCAGTTAATAATTGTTTTCTGTCCTTCTGATACTTATTTTTTTTTTACTTTTTTGCATTTCAACTATTTCAGCTGAAATTAAATGTGGAAGTTTACACTGATGGGAGATACCAGAGCAGCTCAGGTGTCTATTTTCTTTACGTGTCTTTGGTTTCAGTGTTTAATACTGACCATTGAACTGGAAATGTTGAATAGGTTGTTTTGTTTTTTTTTTTTTTTTGTCTCTTCCTTACTAAATTAATGTAGTAAAATGCTTTCCATGTGTCTGTTGATACATGTCTTGATTTTCACTTTTTTGTTCTGCATGTATTTTGCTATTATGTTCTGTTTGCTTATGATGGTTACACAAAACCTTTTATCACTGAAGTTGTTGACTAGAAAAGACCTATAAGAAGTTCATAAATTGAGTAGCGTGCGAAGAATACATAGTTTAGAGCAGCACAGGCTTAAAAGTGTCTTGGTTGTTATCTTGGTTCTGGATGAGAATCTGAGGAACTGAATTTCAGTAGCATTTTTAACTTTGAAATCCTGAGCTAGCACACAAAACTAATCTTAAAAACTACTTGTGAAGCCTGTCCAGCCCAAAGCAAACTCTGGGTTCCACCTGTGGAGTGGCACAGATGTCACAAGGACTACAAAAATAGGTGTCAATAAACTCTATGAATCCTCTAATTTGCCAGGAGCGATGGTATTCAGATTGCCTCTCTTAACTGTGTCAGAGCTATATTACTCATCACGTCAAAAGCACTGAACACCAACTCTTATCTCTTCTCCACTCATGATACCAATTTAGGCTGATGTTGTAGTTTCACCAGCATTTCTTTCATCCTAAGTACTTTTGCCCTTGTGTCACCTTTCTGTTGTTCTGGTACAACCCTTGGTGAAGGCTGGTGCTGAAAAACACTGAGGAACTGGTCTGGGTTAAATACACTTTCCTTTTCTGTGAGGCTGTCTCCCCTGCCCTGGATCTGTTTCCCAATCTATTTTATTATGCAGCCAGGAAAATGGTTATTCCAGCACAGGTCAAGGATAACATAGGAACTGATATGATTAATGGGGGGAGAAGCTGATTAAAATGACATTGCTACCATTAACAGTGCTCTTATAATTGCAAACTTACCCTATAAACAGTCAGAACTTGCTCTGCTTGAGTGGGCTGTGCTCAAGAGAAGCTGCTTGTAGCAAGCTCTGTGAATTCCTACATGCTGCCTGCGTGCGTTTAATTGTATTGTGAGTTCTTTGTAGTTTGGATTATCTTTTATACTGATATGGTGCCTTGCGCATTGGGCCCTGTGCCTAGAGCCTCTGTTCAAAGTTTGTTTTGTTTTATTTCTTTAAAGCAGAACCTCACCAAATGTGTGTGAATATGAGTGTAACTTTGTGTGGCGCACTGCAAAATTCTGTACAAAGGAATGGTATGTACAGTGCAAAAAGTTGTTAAGTTTCTACAGGCATCTCCGGGACTGGAATTCAAGAGAATGCTTCTATCCCAGTGATGGCATTCTGGGTTTATGGGTATGTCTGAGATAAAAATATAGCTTACTAAGAATAACTCTATTCCTTTTATTCTTTGTTTCTAAGAAAAGAACAGGACAACTCTTGCTGGAGTCTGAAACACAAAGATCAGTTTGTTGATTTGGAAATAATTTGCATTGTATCATCAGTACTGAAATGGCTTGAAACAAAGTCACAAAAACCTGATTCAAATGCTTCTCTGTATGCTTCCAGAGTATGGGTACAGCTCACATTGGTGCCATGCCCTTTCAGGAAAGTTATTTGAGGTGACAAGTAGATTTTTTTTTTTTTTTAATTGGTTTTTGCCTGATCTGTTAAAAAGTAAAATGCCCGGAAATTGTTACCAGTAATTGAAGCTGATGTTTTTTGATGCGTACCTGAGCA